ATGTGTATAGTATCGAATTATGTGTATAGTATTTTAAGTTGTATATTGTTTAACACAGTGATCCTATAGTTATATGTATAGTATTTTAAGTTGTATATTGTTTAACACAGTGATCCTATACTTATGTGTATAGTATTTTAAGTTGTATATTTTTTAAGAACATGTAATATTGATGCTTATTAATTACTCACCACACAATCTGTTTAAGAGTCTAGAAATATATAAGAAACTATGTCATATTTGTTTTTGTATATAAAACAATTCGTTTGGATAATTTGCATTACTCATTATTCCACTAGGGGGGATTTAGTTTTATTTAATTAACTAACTGTTGTTCTTTATTGTTGCACGAATTTCAGTAATTTTCAGTTCTGAAACGAAAATTCAAGAATTTAGTAGACTTTTTTTTTTATTACTCCCGGGGTTCAGTGTTACGTTTGTGGGCTTACAACGCTAAAAATCCAAGTGTACAGAGCATGTAGAACTGTAGAAATGTAGACATTTTTTTAACTCCCGGGATTCAGTGGTACGTTTGTGGGCTTACAACGCTAAAAATCCAAGTGTACACCGGGATTCAGTGGTACGTTTGTGGGCTTACAACGCTAAAAATCCAAGTGTACACCGGGATTCAGTGTTACGTTTGTGGGCTTACAACGCTAAAAATCCAAGTGTACAGAGCATGTAGAAATGTGGAACATTTTTTTAAAATCTTATCCTAGACATTGTAGCGGTGGGTACGTTATAAACGTAAAGGTTAAATCTCGATATTTGGTCAGACAGGACTAGCCCACGAGTTGGCGGTGGGTGGTGTTGACTAGTTCCTTTTCCTGTAGTCTATCAATCTAAAACTAGGGACGAGTAGCGCAGATAATTCTGGGTTGTTCTGCGCGAAATATCATAAAATAACAATTTGATTAATTCCAGTTAAGCCCTCTACTGAAGAGACTTAGAACCATTTGATATGACTAAATAAATCCAACTACACCACACAAGTTCATACTCGTGTCAGGAAACACTAATCGTCCATCTTCAGGATGGCTGATGTACTAAACTAGTTGTCAGTGATCACCGTAGTTTAGTACATCAGACATCCTGAAGATGTATGATTAGTGTCTGTGTGAGATGTTAGTAATCACCGTCACAGAGACACTAATCGTACATCTTCAGGGTGGCTGATGTACTAAACCACGGTGATTACTGACAGTTTACAGAGACACTAATCGTACATCTTCAGGATGGCTGATGTACTAAACCACGGTGATTACTGACAGTTAACAGAGACACTAATCATACATTTTCAGGATGATATATGTACTGAACCACGGTGATTAATGGAATCAATCACTTGAGTCGAAAGCCGTATTTTTTCTTGGAAATTTAATGTAAACACATATTTCTATGAAATTATTTTGTTTTATGAAAACGAAACAGAATGTTTCGAAACTCTGTAAACGGGTGTTTTATTTTCTATCAGAAATACATCACTTACTACAATATCCAACTCGTAGTTAAAAAATTCTCAGGCATATAAATTAAATGTTTAGAACTTACTGTCTAATTGTTGATTTTAAACGAAACTCGGGGAACTTGGCGTATAGGTGGCGTATGTATCGAACGATGCGAGTTTTACACTAGGAGTATTTGTTTGAAGTCTTTTACGCACTAGATACAAATATTTGACTTTGTTTGGTATTATGATAAAGTTTTTAGCGTTTATATCAGAGAGGCAAAATAATTCTCTTTTCTTATTTTTCAATTTTGAATCTCGTTTTCCCTTTTGCTTACCTTTCGTACGAGGCACATCAGGTTTAGCGATAAGGCCGTAATTACTTAGCACGAGCTCAAAAGTTGCTGCACGGATTAGTGGGTCATCACTTAGGTCAGCGATTGGCCACAGTTTATGTAGGACAACGCGTGACAGTGCATAACTTAAAAATGAAAATGAAAAAGAGGAGGAAAGATAAGAAATAAACTCAAGCAAATAGGCCAAATGGAAACAATGTCTCATAGCCTACCCGGACCTTTAATAATGTTTAAAATAGCAAAGATAAACATAAAACGACAAGGAATCCCTCTATTGGAGAATTAAATAAGTTATTTTTTTTTTTACTGTGAGATTCGAACCCGGGTCAACTAAATATAAAGGATTTCTACGTAGTCACCTCACGTCAAATCTCATCTACACACTCTTTTGTGCTTTCTTTTGCATCTGTGCTCGTATAAAATGTACATAGGTTTATAACTTTCGGTGGCCCAGTGGTTAGCAGTTCGAGCCATGATGCTACTTGAACACCCCTGCACCTTC